ATGGGCTCTGTGCCGCGGCCGGGCCGGGTGCGTGGTCCTGGGGGAAGCTCGGGCAGAGTCCGGAGCGCTGGGCAGGGTCGTGCCCCGCGGGGAGATGCTCCCTGCGAAAACTGCCCTGCGAGCGCGTGTGGCAGCGGGCACACGAACAAAACGGGCGGCGGCGCTTGGGACGGGTTGGAGAGAGCAGCACCAGAGCCGCGTGTGTTCTACCGCCGTCCCAAATCACACATTCCCCCCGGTTGTCACTTGGAAAGAAGAATAAAGCTGGCGGCAAGAGCGGGGGGAGGCAGTCGGGTCTGACAGGGCCCCAGCCCGACAAAGGTACGTCTGACAGCTCCACGGGAGATGCTTACAGGCACCCTGACGGGAACGACACGGAATTAATTTTCATCATGTGTGTCTTAATCACTAGATACTGGATTCTTATCAGCCTTCCCCAAGTGAAGCAATTGTGGCCAAGTCTCATTCCGCAGCAATCCAAGGCCTTTTCAAATGCAAGTACTATTTTTTCCCCTATATTTTTTTTTTCCTACTGCCATCCTTGAACTGCTCTGAAGAACAATCTTGAAATAAAACCGCGTGTGCCACAAAAAGCTACTTTTTATTTTCACATTTTTTTGTTACAACCAGAGTTTCTTTGTAAGTGTGCTTTTAGGATATAAGTTTTGTTCCTCAGATGCACGCACTTGTGGTAATCCTTTGAATTAATAAAAATGAAGTTAATCAGTAATCTAATTACTCTGAATTAATAAAAAATAAAGTTAATCAGTAATCTAATTGCTGTGTGGTGAAATCAAGGCAAGGAGGCTTTGTTATGGCAGCGATTAGGTCTGTGTCAAATATCATATAATGACAGCCTGAATTAACACCACCAACACTGTCAAAAAGTGCTGTCCCATAAGATTACTCATTTAAAAGCCATGGTCTTTTACTCCTTGCACATGTTCATTTCCTTAATTACTCTGTACAGGTAGGTAATGTGTTCACACACAAGTTTATTGACTTCTCTGGAGCCTTGAACCTGAGAAAATACCAGGTTCAATGTGCTTCTTCTTTCTTGGCCATCCTGCATATGGACGTCAGTATCATTCTGTCTGAGCTGTTTTATAGACTTGTGCTATTGTACCATTCGTTTCCGTAGGTATATAGTACACTAATTTGTTGGCAATAAAATATGTGTTATTTTCAAGGACCTTTTAGAATATGAACCATAATACATAAAAATTGCTTTTAGAATATGAATGTCTTACTAAGCCATTTGTCTTTAGAATACTCCCACTGTGTTATGGTCTAAATTCATGCTGTCATCAGTTTCTATGACACTGGGTAAAATAGGTCTGTTTTCCTGAAAAGATAGATATTAATTCCAACAAAGGTTTACATAAGCTTTATTATTTCACTAAAATGAAGAGAGACACTTAAATGCCATAATTGTAGGAACAACCAAATGGAACTTTTAAAGGGAGATAATAAACTTTTACCTTTGAAAGAATATATGTCTGTATCATAGCCAGAATACTTAACAGTTTGGGGATTTTGGTTTTTTTAAAGCTCTTTACCTGACTGACTTTCTCTGCCTTCCCATCACTATTTCTGCCAACAGCATTTCAGGCATATACAGCTTCCATCACAGTGTCTTTCCCACCTGCTGCCTGCAACTATTCCTGAGACCCTCCTGGTTCTTGTGACCCAACAGCTACAAAAAAGGCCAAGTCAATTCAGTCTGAAGAGAACCAAGTAGAAAAACCCAAGTATTTTTAAACATGATGCTATCCCCTGAGCTGGTTTACTGCTCAGTTCTGCAGTTCTGAGAGGACCAAAGAACAAGCAATGCAAGGAAAGATACAGCAGTGCAGAGGAGTTTATTAGCCTGCATGGTCAAACCCAGTGTCAGGAGGGAGGCTGGCTACTGATGTGGCATGTGACATACTAAGTGACCCTGATAATTGCAAACAGAGGTACTGGGATCATGCTATCATTAGTTATTAATTTTACTGTTATTAATATGTTACAACTCTAATGATTATCAAAGTAATGAATCGTCTGTGAACAAAAGGCAGGCAAATTATTCTCATGCAGCAGATAGATAACTGTCCTTCAATGTCAGGTCACATTAGCAAAAGAAAATAGTTCAGCTTATATTACTTCCACAGGTTTTATGTTTTTAACTCCTAAATTCTTTTAGTGTTTCAGGCATTCTTAGCACATTAGCCTTAAATATTCTAGATGCATAAAAAAAAAACCACAATAAATTTTGGTTTTAATGTGTTTAGATTTTTGTGCAGAGATGGACACATCACTTACTGCAGTGTAGTCTTATGTTTGGGGCAGAGTTTTTTTGCCATTAGCAATCCATTTCAAACTGCCCTCTCAGAGGAGGGCCATGAAGAATCAGAACTTTTGTTCCACTTTCACAGCAGTCAAGACTGCTCAGTGCTGTTTCACAAAAAGTATTTCCAGGAAGAAGATCTCTTCAGATTTCATAAAGCATTCTCATTTCTCAGAAATATAATTTGGAAACTAGAGCTTCTGCCTGCTTCGTAATTTTCAATCTCTGCCTATTCATTACAAGTTCTTATATTTAGATATATAATGGAGTTGTAAGCTTCTTTAAAAATAGAAATCCTTGATAAATAAATACTTAACAACCTTAATCTCTGTCATATGACCGTGTTCTTAAAGCTCAATTCAACACAGAGACTGTTTTTAAAAGATAATGCATCTGGAAAAAAATAGCAGTTATTTCCAGTCTGATCTCACAGAAAATCTGTAGCCTATGAGACACCAAGAAGGGCATGTTTAGGGAGAGAGACAGCATTCCAGAAGGGACAATTTCTTGGTCCTCTGTCCCAGTGCCAGCCTAGGCCAGGCTGGCTGTGACCACAGGAACTGCTGCACATGCTGCTCCATGGACAGGAGCACCATTGTGGAGCAGCCCTTCTGTTTTGATTAGGATGGAGCAACAATCGCTGCAGAATTAAGGGCAGCCAGTACTCTTGATTAGAAATTCAGCTAGGATTTTCAAAGGTGCCCAGAACTCACATTGAGCTCCTACAGAGCCTTTGATTAATTCCCCTAATTGGGTCTTCGAGGAAGCATCGAATCCTTCAAATCAGCTGAGGTCCAAGAGCTTTGTATAAAATGCAGAAGGCTCTGGAGACTCCTGGTCTGGCATTCTTCATGAAAACAATTTCAGTAACCAAAGCATGCAAAAAAGGGAAAAAAAGTAAGAAAAACATGCTGACCTAGGAAGAAAAAACAAATCTTCTGAAATTTCCTTTCTAATAGAAATAAGATGACAGTACTTTCTGTAAAAAAAACACAAATTCTGCAATTTTTATTTTAGGACCTCTGAAACAACTGACTATGATATTTTGTGTCAGATGTTCAGTTTTGACTTATGGTTTTCTTCTTTATATTCTTGTTTCAGCCATAAATAAAGTATTTCTATAGCTTTCTCTTGAAAACATAAAAGAAATCAATATCTTCCTACAAAACGTTACATTTTATCAAATCCATGTTTTGACAGAAAATTGCTCTAGCAGAAAGCTCTTTACCAGATCTTTCCAGAAAGTGGAAAATCACTAGCTAACATCTGCTTGACTCTGAAACGCTGAATATTTCAGTCTCAGATTTCTCATATTATCACAAAATATTTTAAAGGAAACTGTTCAAGAAGGAAGGGTTCTATAAGCATTTTGTTGGTCGATTTTTTAAATAACAAACTGGAACTTCAGATTAAAAATAAAAATAATACATTAGCATAGAACTACAGAGAAGTGTCCTTTACTTATAATTTGTGGCAAGTTTTATGTATCCTAAATAAAGATAGCTTTTATCTTACACTTCTTACTAGCTGAGAGTTCTCCTGACAACCTGGAGTTCTCCTTTACTTCACTTTTCATGACAAAGCTTACACACAGGCACAACTGTGGCTTGATTTGTTAATATTTATCTAAACATTATGTTCCACGTCAATATTTTGCACTAAGGGATGATGCTTACAGTACCTGAAAATACAGGATAATAGATTCTGATTTCTTTAATTTCTAAACTTTAAGGGGAAAATAGTATAAGGATTTGATAATAGCAAAGGCTTTTTCTTACTACACCACTAACATAAGGCAATATTTAAAAATATAGCAACCAAATCATCATACACATAAATAACATATAAACTGTCCTCACTACACATGAGCTAGAACATCCATTAGTTTTTCTTCCTAACACTTAAAAAACAGGTTAAAAGCATGTATGTAGGTTTGTAAACACAGCAGCTCACAAGACTAATTGAGTGGAAAGACACAAGCATTGCATCAAAACCTGCATTGTACAAAAGCTTAGAAATGAGCCCTCAAGGTAAGGGAGGGGAAGAGAGGAACAACGTGGAGATTGCTGTTCTGAGAAGCACAAACATACAGCATCATGACAGAACTGACGGCAGGAGAAGCTGTATTTGGGAGGGGGAAGCTAGAAGGCAGAGATAAGGATCCACTACAGCCGAGCATCTCCTGTGAGTCCTGGGGCACGCTCCCCACACACTCAGCACTACAGTCCTTCCTGCTCAGCAAAGGACTGAAAGAAAAGCTGCTACCCACAGGCCTTCTATGCAACACCTCTGCCTTGGTATTAGCAGCTCAATTAAAGTATCACAGCTATCTTAATTATCACGGCTGAGCTGGGTTTCCTCTCCCTAATCACAACTGTTTATAGTGCCTGGCTGGGGGCTGCTCCTCGCTGTGTTCACAAGGAGGAACAGGGAGGGCTGGTGAGGATGCTGTGAGAGACGTGAGGAAAAATGTTGCGAAGCAATTCAAGGATTTTAAAGTTTTCATGGTTCTTCAGATGCTTGCTAATTGTTACTCCTACAGAAAATTCCTCTCCCGCCCCTGTGTGCCTGGGCACGTTGGTAGTATTCTGAATGCCTGCATTTATTGCCTTGCTGCTGGACTACGGAAAATCAGCAGCTCGGATTACAAGGGGCCGTCAGACACCCTGGCCAGCCCAGGAGCTGCAGTTTTCGTGAGAAACTTAGAGTCATGGGATGTTTCCAAGTGATGGAGCCCAGCCGTGTCCCCCTGGGGCAGCGCAGCCGCTCGGCAGCCGGGGCGATGCTGGGTGTGTGCGAGGCTGCCCGGCTGCGCTCACCACTTCCTCCCCCGCAGCGTGCTGAGCTCACGGAGGGTTGTACTCAGGGTTACCAGCTGACATTTCACTGCTTACTCTTGGGTCACGCTGTTCAGCTTTGCCTCTGAATCCCGAGAGCTGGAAATGCACACATTTTTATATAGGAAGCTCTCTCTTCTGATGTAAACCCATTAGCCCCAAAGTCAGGGTGCTAGAGCAAAGCCTACAAAGTTCATGTGTCCTTCGCTAATCCAGAGAAGCAGCCTGGACACCCTGACACCCAGCCAGTGTTAGGAAGCCCTCAGGACATGTACTGTGGTTGGCTCGACGCAGAACTGTGGAAGCAGCCCTGAAAAGCAGTGTCAGTGTGTCTGCACAGAAGCATTTTTTTGGTCTGACCTTCATTGCTGTGGCCACATCCTACTCTCAGTTCTTCCAGTGTACAAGAACCAGCACTTAGAGCC